CATCATCTGCTTGTATTGCCTGACATGGGCTTCGGGATCGGACCGCCCGTCATAAGTTTTGAACCGCGGCACGACAAACTTTCTTGAAACCTCCATCTCACCGATCTCCCTCGTAAAGGGTGTTTGTATGACTTCGTCCTCGGCCTCATCCTGGACAGCCTTACCCTTTCTCCTGGAGTCTAACCGGGCTCTGAGATCAATTTCTTCCCTGACGGGATGCCTTCTGAAGTCCTTGAGTTCATCGGTAAGCCCCTCATTTCCTGGGCGTCGTGTGGATTGGGTTGAGTCCTCCTCGGATTCATCTCCCTTCCTCCGTCTAGACAAACCTCGCCGGAGGTCGTCCAGGGCCAATGGCCTTGCTTTCCTTGAATGGTTGTCATGATGATGCTCGCTGGCTCTGGGTCGCTTTGGGGCCCTAGAGCTTTCTGCTTTGTTGTTTAGGTGGTTTCTTAGATCCTTCGTTTCCGCCTCCCGGGCGGGAAGCCCACGAGAAAGGAATGAATCCCTCGATCCTTCGCCAGAGGTGGCAAACTCGTTGAGCCGGCTTAGGACGTTTACATTGTCCTTTTCCAGCTGTCGTAATCTATCGCCAAACTTTTCTTCAATCACCTCCGCCAGCTGACGAGCCAAGGGGGCTGATCCCCCTGACCTGATTCCCATACTGGTTTGAGGGGTAACCCCTCTTGACCGAGTAGAGGCACTTTTATTCATATCGGTGTGATCCCTTCCTCCGTGATGACAGGGAGCTTGTAACTCGAGACTCCTTTGGTGGGGGCCTTTCCCTTTCTGTCGAGTGTTCACCATGGTCACTGTTCTTTATAGAGAAAAAACTAGGAAAACTAGTCGTTTCCCACAGACGGCGCCAGATTGTGCGTGCAAGATCCTGCACAATATAAAAAACGAGAACAGATCTCTCCCTTGGTGAACTCGAGTGAGCCAGTTGAGTGACCAACCACGCTGCTTGGAACAGCCTGCGAGGTCCGGTGGTAACCTGGAACGGCAACGGGAGACCCTGGGGGAGCGGAAGAACGATCCAGTAAGGCTGAAAGAGGTTCCTGGAACAAAGAAGAACAAGTTAGAAGGGCGCCGGAGTGTTTTCCGGCGTATCCCCTCCGACGATCTAGTCAGTCTTTGAGAAAGAGAGAGGAAGGAGAAAACACTGAGTGTGTATTGTAGTAAAGAGTTTTTTGTTGCATACCCGTCTTGCCTTTTGCAAGGAGTATTTATACCTCAAAAGCTCATGATTGCTGTCAGTGTAGTCAGTAGGTGATCATTAGGTACAGGCAGTGTGCGCACTGATTCTGATGAGGAATGTCTTCTCTTCTTAACTGCTCGGGGTCCCGAGCAATCAATGCTGGGTCATCGGGATGCCGACGGTACAATGTACTCCTCTCGGGGAGGATGCAATAAATGCTCTGTATTAGGAGCATTTATTGCCTTTCATTTCCGAGCCTTACCGCATTGAATGCGGTCTCATCAAGGGAATGGTGTAATTAATCGTTTGCTTTCCCAAGTCGCGTGTCAGCAACGGTATGCGGTTTCTCTGTCTTCGATGTGATATCATATGCCACGCGTCCATCCCCCATTGGCTGTGGCCCCTGCATTCCAGTACGTTCTGACACTCATTATGTAAGACGAGGTCATGATGAATAGCCTAGACTAGCCTAGGCTAATGGCCTGTACGTCAATAGCTTATCCTGGAGTAGAGGAAGCGTCCAGGACGGGGTACATCTCGGCACCGAGGAAAGGCNTCCCCCTGACCTGATTCCCATACTGGTTTGAGGGGTAACCCCTCTTGACCGAGTAGATGCACTTTTATTCATATCGGTGTGATCCCTTCCTCCGTGATGACAGGGAGCTTGTAACTCGAGACTCCTTTGGTGGAGTCTTTTCTCTTTCTGTCGAGTGTTCACCATGGTCACTGTTCTTTATAGAGAAAAAACTAGGAAAATTAGTCGTTTTCCACAGACGGCGCCAGATTGTGCGTGCAAGATCCTGCACAATATAAAAAACGAGAACAGATCTCTCCCTTGGTGAACTCGAGTGAGCCAGTTGAGTGACCAACCACGCTGCTTGGAACAGCCTGCGAGGTCCGGTGGTAACCTGGAACGGCAACGGGAGACCCTGGGGGAGCGGAAGAACGATCCAGTAAGGCTGAAAGAGGTTCCTGGAACAAAGAAGAACAAGTTAGAAGGGCGCCGGAGTGTTTTCCGGCGTATCCCCTCCGACGATCTAGTCAGTCTTTGAGAAAGAGAGAGGAAGGAGAAAACACTGAGTGTGTATTGTAGTAAAGAGTTTTTTGTTGCATACCCGTCTTGCCTTTTGCAAGGAGTATTTATACCTCAAAAGCTCATGATTGCTGTCAGTGTAGTCAGTAGGTGATCATTAGGTACAGGCAGTGTGCGCACTGATTCTGATGAGGAATGTCTTCTCTTCTTAACTGCTCGGGGTCCCGAGCAATCAATGCTGGGTCATCGGGATGCCGACGGTACAATGTACTCCTCTCGGGGAGGATGCAATAAATGCTCTGTATTAGGAGCATTTATTGCCTTTCATTTCCGAGCCTTACCGCATTGAATGCGGTCTCATCAAGGGAATGGTGTAATTAATCGTTTGCTTTCCCAAGTCGCGTGTCAGCAACGGCATGCGGTTTCTCTGTCTTCGATGTGATATCATATGCCACGCGTCCATCCCCCATTGGCTGTGGCCCCTGCATTCCAGTACGTTCTGACACTAATTGTGTAAGACGAGGTCATGATGAATAGCCTAGACTAGCCTAGGCTAATGACCTGTACGTCAATAGCTTATCCTGGAGTAGAGGAGGCGTCCAGGACGGGGTACACTCGGCACCGAGGAAAGGCTCATCTCGGAACCGAGGGAGGGATACCGACCGAGGTACCATATCAGACCGAGGCTACGTGTTGGTTGTAAAACGTACTGAATGCCATGATCCTATATGACGAGTACCTCGGGGGCGAGGACCTTTATGCGCCGATGGTGCTTGATCTTAGCAACAGTGTTTTGGTAATACCGAGGACACGTGTCTTCATCATGGAGCATTTCAAAAAAGTCCCATCAGTTACATAATAGTAGGAGTTTGTTATTTAGTTTGTTATACAGTTATGTTACAGCTAGACACAGCTGGACTCTTACTGCACAATTGTAACTTCCTTTCTCACATACATATAAACTCTCTGCTCTAATCTCTGATTAACGAGAATAGAGATTTCCTTTACTTACACAGTTTATCTCGTGCTACATGTAACTTCAAATTTAATATTCTGGTTAACTTGTGAAGTTCATAATATATATTTTTTTTGTAGAAACTTAGTTCGCTTATGATTGATTTAGTTTACTTAGGGTGTTCTAAATTCACTGAATCTTATAATTGGCCCGTGAATGAATACGGGCCATTTAATTTTCCATCTCAGGCAATCTAATTACCCAGGCCCCAGCACAGACTCCTTTTTTTTTTTTTTTTGGGGGGGGGGGGGGTTCCATTTGTGTGCTGCATGGGTCTCTTCTCTATCCATCCACTCATCTGACTTCTAGTTACAAAGAGTGACTTGCTTGTTAAGCTGTAGATGAGGGGGATCGGAACCTAAGTTCCGTTTGTTAGCAACCATCCTTTACTTCTAGTCCAGTGCAATATTTATTATCAGATGATAATTATTGATAAGTGTTGAACAGGACACTGTTGTTTCATTACCAAGCTGGCAAAATTTTCTAGATCTTATGACGGCACATCTAGACCACTTCAATAATAAAAATCTTGTTCCCCAATTGCTGATTATTTTAATTAATGGCGTTGAACATTGTTCATGAATACTGTGCTGCACCACTTTGTGGAGATTAGCCTTTACTTGGAAAATATGGATCAAATTGCTGCCTAAAACTCTGTCAAGAAAGCGTTGCTTTCCGTTTGATCCTCTGTGCTCAAAGAATGCTATGAGCGTTGCTTTCCGTTTGATCCTCTGTGCTCAAAGAATGCTATGTGTTCTACACTTTCGAATCTCGCAAAGAGAGAACATATTTTTTCCTGAGTTTCTCTCACACTCGGGGAGCGAAGAAAGCAGGAATATATATTCCTTTTGAGAGATTATTTATGCTTAGCAATTTTCTATTGATGAAATATAGCACCTTCCCTGCCAAGGATTGATCACCTAGCTTGTTAAAGCCATGAGCCTTCTTAGTAGCTTCAATGAATATCATCTGTACACAATATGCTCTTTTTTTTTGGATTTTTATAAGGAAATTATGTGAGAAGGCCCCTACTTTGATGTTAAGGTTGTACTCCAACAAAATAGACTTTTGCTAAAAAGATGAGGTTGTCTACTTAAGAGACGAGGGCATCCAAGTTGAAGCATTAAAGACTGCTGAGAAGCTGGAGGCACCTCCCCATGATTGGATGTGTACAGAGCAATAGGACTGGAAAACCAGGTCATTGTGGTTGTAAAATAATTCATTGGCTATAATTCCGACACAATTTAGAGTATTGCAATCTGGGCATAGATAGATAAATTAACGGTTACATCATGGAATGGTTTCACCATATATGGCAACCCTGTCTTTGAATGGAAACCTAGGTAATTGTCCATGATATTTGACAGGACTATTTCAGCTACATTTAGGAGTTGAAGATTGTTAAAGTATATCACAATCTAGTACACCCAACATAGTACCCCCATGTCCTATGATGCTTTGGTTAAGGCAAATGCATTCTATTATGTTGCTTCCATGTGGGCTTTTTTTGATTGCACCTATTTTGTCATTGCTATTATGTGTCACAGATTCTCTGTTTTACCCTTAATGCTCAACCGTTGATGTTATAGTTGACTATAGTAATGAGTAATGTTTTGGTGGGGACATTTGTTAGATTTCTGTCGGTGGAGGTAATATCTGAGCATGCTTTTCTGTTTTTATTTTGTCAATTTCTGAAATTTAACAATAGTTTCGAAATTCCATCAAGCTTCACTGAGAAATGGTTGTTTATATTTTCCAGGAAAAAGTTGGGTTAGGGTTTTCATCTGACACTGGAAAAGGGAAGAGTAAGATGTCCAAGCACGTAACACATGGGTATCATTTGGTTAAAGGGAAATCCAATCATGCCATGGAAGATTATGTTTTTGCAGACTTTAAGCAAGCTGATGACAATGAGCTTGGTCTGTTTGCAATATTTGACGGTCATCTGAGTCATGATATTCCTGATTATTTGCGATCCCATTTATTTGATAATATATTGAAAGAGGTAACGTGTGCTTGTTTCATGTTGTTCAATGTTTTTGGAGTGTATTTTTGTGTACTGCTTTCTTCAATGTACTTTTTGAAAAAGCATAAAATGAACTGTAGATGAAATGGATGTTTGGCTTCTCTCATATCTTGCCAATGGGTAATTAGTTAGCTCATGACAATGACGAACAAATCAATTTTATTTTGTTCCCCTTCTCTCCTGCCCTCCTGATTGTGATAGTTACAAAATAAGCCCGAACATTCTTGACAACTTTTCTTTTGCTATAAATAGCCTGACTTCTGGACTGAACCGGAGAATGCAATCAGAAGAGCATATCGTATAACTAATACCACGATTTTGGAGAAAGCAGTTGATTTGGGTAAAGGTGGTTCTACGGCAGTTACAGTGATATTAATTAATTGTCAGAAGCTGGTAGTAGCCAATGTTGGAGATTCCCGTGCAGTCATCTGCAAGAACGGTGTGGCAAAGCAATTATCTGTTGACCATGAGCCTAGCAAGGAACGGGAGATCATCGAGAACAGAGGTGGTTTTGTATCAAATTTTCCAGGTACAGATATATGGAGGACGACCTACAACTGAATGGCAAGACTTTAACTGATTCCATCGCATTTGCACACCACCTTCATATTTGTCATAGGATTTAAAAGCTAATACAGTTTGGTCTCGAATAAAATTTGCTATGTACTTTTTCTTGATAATTAACTTAGGATCCTCACTTTCCTTTTTTTCATTTTCCGTGATTGCCATGCGTTACCATAAAAAGTAGTGGCTTTGAATGAATTTACATCTATGTCGTGTCCAAAAGCCCCATATACTACTTGGTCACTAGTTGCACTTACTGTGATCACTTCAACTTTCCCAGTGATCTTCACTTGTTTGAATTTCACAGGCCAAACTGACGTCCTTAAATATGTATGAGATTTATCTTTTAATGTTTGCATCAAGTGAGAGGGATAGTTTGTGCACATAATAGTTGACAGTCTGAATGTTGCATTTTTAAGTGCAATTTCTGGTAGAATTAAGATTGATGTTCTTTCTGGTTATTATTATGATATCAAGTTTGCCTTCAACGCACCATAGTGCCCTTCTTTTTATCCAAAAAAAAAAATTCTATTTCCACTTTCCTATCATTGGTAACAATGTGTTAAATGCAGGTGATGTTCCGCGAGTTGATGGACAGTTGGCGGTGGCAAGGGCATTTGGTGACAAGAGCTTGAAGGAACATCTTACTTCAGAACCAGATGTGACTATGGAGATTATAGACGATGATACAGAGTTTGTCATCTTGGCCAGTGACGGTATATGGAAGGTTGGTTTCTTCCTCTTTTTGGCATGTCCATCATCACATTTCATACTTCAGTTTGTTGGTTTTTTAGCATGCAGGGATTATCAAAGTTTGTGTGCATAGGTCAGTTAATTACTTCCAAATTCTGAAGATCGGGCTCTTTGTACTTTTAATATAAGTTTTGGCCCTACGATATCCCTTCAAAAGGTTGGATCACATTTTCCAATCTTATTCCAGGTATTGTCAAATCAAGAGGCAGTGGACTGCATCAAGCATATAAAGGATGCTCGGTCAGCGGCAAAGCACCTTACCGAGGAGGCACTGGCAAGGAAGAGCAGTGATGATATCTCCTGCATAGTCGTAAGGTTTCGTTGATCCTTTTGGCTTCTCTTCACCCTTGTCCCATGTAAAACTGAAACTGATCAAATAGAAAGCAAACACCTCTAATTGGTGTTTGCTTATCAATGCTGTAGAAGTGCACTCAATCTGATATAGTGCAGCCACTGTATAAGTGTGTGTGTCCATCTAAGTTTATAGGGTCTGTTGGAGATTTTGCTCATCGTTCAATTTGTGCTTTTGTTCCCTTTGAATAGACCACCAAGAGATTAAAGTCGTCCCCAAAACTTGGGGTGATTGATGTTGATCCTTACTTCATTCTGGTTTCTATGTCGATGAGACAAAATGAACTTGCTTGCAAGATATGAAGAATTTTGATATTTGTGAACTATTGTTAGTGATTTTCCACTCACCTGGTGACTAATCAAATGGATTTCTAGTGGATTGAGAAAGTTTCGATCTCAAACTTACTTAATAGGCCATAAGAGAGATTCAAAAAACCCGATTTCCTGTCTTGTAATCAGACTCAAAAGAGAAAAAAAAGACCAGATTAAAAGAGATATCTCTTTCGACAATTGAATTTCAATTTCATATCAAGATTGAAATTGGATTTAAGGGTCCAAACCTTAGGGCTGGTTTTTACTCCACTTTTACTTCGACCCACTTTCAATATCGAATTTCACTGTTTGGAATTCTTGCTCCTACCTCATATTCACATAAACCACTAGTGAAATTGCTCTCTTGCAGTCCTATAACCGGTTAACACTCCCTTCCGTATCGCAAAAATCGAAACCTTAACACTGACAACTCCATTCTATATTTGCTTTTTGTTGGCGACAACAGTGTTGAATGTCAATGTGAAAGTGAAATTGGCAATAAGCTAGGAGTCCGTAGCAGTCGACTAAGCCCCCTCAATTTATGTTCCGCATCAACCAAGGCTTGTAACGAGGCTTAGTAATTCTAGATACAACTTGGCCTAGCAAATCTTGATATAACCCACAAATGGACTTCTTTCGACATGAAGTTGATATGGAATTTACGAGTTTAGATTTAGTTTGGTAACAATAATAAGCAAGTAGACTTATTATACTTGTCAAATAAAAGGGTCGGCACAATCGAATAATCACACACAAATATGAACATGTGGGGTATTAATTGAGCAAATTTGTCAAGATTTAGAAATGACACGAACCCAACAAGAATCATTGCCAGCCTTACTCGACCAGCTCTCGTTGCAATCCTTGATCTTTCATATCGGGTTACATTTGAATTGTGTAAAAATCCGTTTTGTGCCATTTTTTTTTTTTTTTTTATGTTTACAAGGGTGATTAGATGTAGCAACTTCCTCAACACGTTTTCTGTTATTAGAACACAATCTTCTGAATAAATATACAAACGCGTGAGTACATAAAAATAAAACCAGAAATATCACACAATATAATACCGTAACACTGGAAGCCTAACCACACAAATTCAGTCCCACACATACAATCAGATCAACAGGAAAAGCATAAAGCTGACGATGGTGTACAGTGTACTTTCAATGGTGATGCCTTTTTGCACTTGATCTGGACACAGTTCTTCAATAAATAGCTTAAAGAAATATAATTGCAAGGGGCACATAGATACCGTTGGGATGACAGAAGAGAGTAAGCAATGCTTTCGGGATCTCAAAGGGTGTGGAAATCTCCGTAAGAGGAATTCTCATGGAAGGCCATTTGAGCTCTGCCTCTTTCAACAACCAACCGGCGTTGGTTTTCCTTCAACTTACGACCCAACACTCTGCGATTTGAGCCCTCTCCAGGAGAGTCACATGAATTCTTCCGACGCCTTTCATTGTGGCCAGCCAAACGCCTGCGACAACTTCTTTTCGCTTCGTCGAACTCCAACAGCTCATGGAACCTGAGACTTCAAAACACTGAATTATAAGAGTGAAGAGCTCTACAACTACTAGAATAGAATTGATGTTTAGACACCAGGAAAAGGAGATTTAGAGGGGTTGGGGAAAATTTTCTCAAAGGAATACACAAAGAGGTCAACTGTTTGCCTAATTCTAAGACCCAAGACTCCTTTCTGATGGTTTCTCTTTGTTAAAAGGTGTACACTGTACACGAGACTTCCCTTATTGCGGAGTCTAGAGAGGATTAGATGTACACAACCTTGTTCTTACAACAGGGGCTGTTTCCATGACTAGAACCCATCACCATCAGGTCACAATGAGACAACCGTATAGAGTCTAGAAGGCTAAAACTTTCCCAAAAATTAACCAGAGTTTACAATTTTGCCAAAAGTTTGGATTTTAACAAGGAATCCACTCAGACAGCTCAAGTATATGACCCAAAAAAGTTTAGCCAAGTGCTCCATGTGAGATTCCTCGGAGAGAATTGAAAATTCAAATCTTAGAATGGCTTTCATGGCAAACAAACCAAACATTAGGAGATCTCCTTCTGATAGCTCCATAAATCTATAAAGTAAATGAAACATTTCTTATAGTTTTAGTCAATGAACACAATCTGCACACTCCATTCCAGAGAAAACCCCTGAATTGAAGTAATAAGTGTCACTTCTGACTAAATCACATGTGTATATGGTCGTCCCGTCTTATCTCAAATTTTTGCTNTTTTTTTTTTTTTTTTTATGTTTACAAGGGTGATTAGATGTAGCAACTTCCTCAACACGTTTTCTGTTATTAGAACACAATCTTCTGAATAAATATACAAACGCGTGAGTACATAAAAATAAAACCAGAAATATCACACAATATAATACCGTAACACTGGAAGCCTAACCACACAAATTCAGTCCCACACATACAATCAGATCAACAGGAAAAGCATAAAGCTGACGATGGTGTACAGTGTACTTTCAATGGTGATGCCTTTTTGCACTTGATCTGGACACAGTTCTTCAATAAATAGCTTAAAGAAATATAATTGCAAGGGGCACATAGATACCGTTGGGATGACAGAAGAGAGTAAGCAATGCTTTCGGGATCTCAAAGGGTGTGGAAATCTCCGTAAGAGGAATTCTCATGGAAGGCCATTTGAGCTCTGCCTCTTTCAACAACCAACCGGCGTTGGTTTTCCTTCAACTTACGACCCAACACTCTGCGATTTGAGCCCTCTCCAGGAGAGTCACATGAATTCTTCCGACGCCTTTCATTGTGGCCAGCCAAACGCCTGCGACAACTTCTTTTCGCTTCGTCGAACTCCAACAGCTCATGGAACCTGAGACTTCAAAACACTGAATTATAAGAGTGAAGAGCTCTACAACTACTAGAATAGAATTGATGTTTAGACACCAGGAAAAGGAGATTTAGAGGGGTTGGGGAAAATTTTCTCAAAGGAATACACAAAGAGGTCAACTGTTTGCCTAATTCTAAGACCCAAGACTCCTTTCTGATGGTTTCTCTTTGTTAAAAGGTGTACACTGTACACGAGACTTCCCTTATTGCGGAGTCTAGAGAGGATTAGATGTACACAACCTTGTTCTTACAACAGGGGCTGTTTCCATGACTAGAACCCATCACCATCAGGTCACAATGAGACAACCGTATAGAGTCTAGAAGGCTAAAACTTTCCCAAAAATTAACCAGAGTTTACAATTTTGCCAAAAGTTTGGATTTTAACAAGGAATCCACTCAGACAGCTCAAGTATATGACCCAAAAAAGTTTAGCCAAGTGCTCCATGTGAGATTCCTCGGAGAGAATTGAAAATTCAAATCTTAGAATGGCTTTCATGGCAAACAAACCAAACATTAGGAGATCTCCTTCTGATAGCTCCATAAATCTATAAAGTAAATGAAACATTTCTTATAGTTTTAGTCAATGAACACAATCTGCACACTCCATTCCAGAGAAAACCCCTGAATTGAAGTAATAAGTGTCACTTCTGACTAAATCACATGTGTATATGGTCGTCCCGTCTTATCTCAAATTTTTGCTCAAGTTTGAGTTAATATTTAAAAAAAGAGTAATACTATTTGGACCTAAAAATTTAACCTAATTTACTGACATAATAATGTGGCTTCAGTAGAACTATTGAATCAACACTAAGTTCCAATATTTGATGGGTCTCATAGTCAATCCAAATGTCATAGTGAATTAGGTCATTAAATTAAGTCAATAAATTAGATCCTAATAGCATTGCTCTTAAATAAAAAGTTTGATTTTGACACAAAGCACCTACGGAGAAACTCAAAGTTATAGAGAGAATAAACTCAAATTTAAATGAGGATAAACTCAAATATAAAGAATGATAAAATATAACCATTGAATCTTTAAAGATGGATAAAATCTAATCACTCCAAATTTGAATCTCCTTTCATTTGGTATAGGTTTGAGTAAATGACCGAAGGTTGTTTTTATCATGTTTTTACTCAAATTTAAATTTGAATAAGGATTTTGGTAAGGATTTGAGGTGCTCTAAGAGAATCTCTGATCCTTACTTTTTTAAAACTCATAAAAAAATCCTAAAAACCTTCTCCAATCTTATACATAAATCTATATCAAATTAAGGGAGACTCTTTTTTTTATTCAAATCAAAGGGAGACTCAAATTCATACCCAAATTTTTAATGGTGAGATTTTACCCTCTTTAAAGATCTAATAGTAATATTTTATCCTCTTTTAAATTTGAGTTTGTCTTCCTTTAAATTTGAACTCTCTATTAGAGAGGTCTATACTAAATCAAGTTTTTATCCCTTTTTTTTCCTCAAAAAATTTGCATTTGCATTTACATTGGAGATAGTCACTATTACTAAATTAAACCACATATAAGCACTTATATATAGTCAATAAACTAATCAAATGTCACTACCTTATGGGTCATTTCCACTTCAAATGACATAATAGCATACAATGCAAGCAACAAAACTCATATACACTGAAAACAAGCAACTCCCTATAAGTGTTAAGTCAATTTCCTTAGACCATGTTTGCAGATTGATTTGCCAAAATGACAACACACTCTTAATTTCATCATGTTATTCTCTGTTCTATATAAGACATCAAAGCAAAATCCCTTTTACAAACCCAAAAAAGAACATGGATTTGGTCCGAAAGAGTTCAAAACCCCTCTTCCTTTCCTTCCCTTTCGTTTCGTTTCGTTTCGTTTCCCTCAATCCAAATAGATGTCACTTAAACTCACCCTAAACTAGCAATAAATACTCAAAATCACAACAAAAAATTACCAAAATTGGAAACAGTAGAGTTTTGAAAGACCTGCTGCATTGCTGACAGAATCGTTGCCGCATCCCGGCGACCATGACCACCGGCGCTTTGGCGTGAGCTTCACACACCTTATGGCGCCGGTGATACTTCTTCGAATCAGTCAAATCAGAGGCACACTTTTCCACCTGACAAGAAGGCGGCGACATCACTCCTCCTCTTCCACCAGCAGCAGCAGCAGCAGTAGACCCTTTTCTTCCAGACCCACCAACAAGATTTATTTTTTTCCTCACATGACCCTCAAAACCCTCGTCTTCTTCTTCTACTTCGTCTTCCTCCTCCTCCAAGTCATCCTCTTCATCTTCCACCATTTTCTTGGTGTACGCCTTGTTTTTCAATGTTGGTGATGGCCTTGTATCCATTTTTTTCTGGGTTCTCAGGATGGTGAAAGAAGAAGGAAGAGATGAAAAAAATAAAGGTACGGTGGATCTGAATTATACAGGTTGTCATGAAGGAAGGTGAAGGCATGCTGAAAGAAAGGTGAAAAAAGGTACAATGGATAGAGAGATATAAGAGTGAGGACCACAATCACCCCTCTCTCTCTCTCTCTACTTTCCCAATCTGGCTGTGTGGCCCGTGTGGGTATAATGAACAGTGAATGAATTGTATGAATTGCTCTCCTAATGGAAGATGATCTAGATTTTGATTTGCTAAATGTTAGTTGATTGAGCTTTATTTCCAGTTACCAGTATACAGTAGTTGGCTGGTTTTGTATAAGGTGGAGTATGAAAGAGTATTCTCTCTTTGACTAAATCATTGAAGAATTAGTTAAATTATTCGTAAGTTGAACCGAAGACTCTGATAGGCAAAAGAAGATGAAAAAAGAATTTATTATATTTCTTGAGATATAAACTTCTAAATCTATTTGTTATCTAAAGAATTTAGATTTAAATCATTTATTATTAATTATTTTAAAAAACCATGAAAAAAATTTTCTACTATAATGGCATATAAAGGGGGCAATAATGGATACATGCAAAAGTTAGTCCATGCTCATTTATTTGCCTATTGTTCAAGTGGGCTTTTTAAAAAAACATTTTCTCCCATTGGGCAGAAGAAGAACCTTCTTTGTTGTGGGCTAGATATCTACACTAACCCAATCCTCTTAAAATCATGGTGCAACAAGTTTAATGACTTGACAAAGTAAAATCTTAGCATTCTACCATAGCATCCTGTGAAATCAAGCCCAACAAAAGTGGAAATCCAAGTACTAGACACATAAAGATAGACTGGGCTTCTTTAGCATTGGATTGTGATGTTTCCATCCCCATTTCATGTCATGCCAATCCTTTCATTTACATTTTATAGTATAACTAGATTACATGTGCCAATATATTTTATGTGTGTAAATGTATATGTCATTTATATTGTACGCTTGATGTGCATGTGTGATCCTACACCTCATCCCTTGGTGCTGCAGTTTATGGTGTTCTTCTTCAGAAATTGTAGCACAAACACTATATATTCAAGATTTAGACATTGAGTGAAGATCATCGTTAATTGTCAAAGTTTTCACCAAAGGTACGCTTTCATCGTGATAAGCTCAATTGTTAATTCTAATTAACTGTCATCTCCCCCTGCAAACTCTCATATTTAGGATTTAGACATTTTACTATGTAATATATGTTTCTAAAGTACAGAGAGATATGACTATTTTTCATCTTCTGAAACAAAATAATTTTTTTCGCTATATTGATGTTGTAGCTTTGCAAAAGATATATGTGATCAATATGATTGATTACGAATACTCAAAGCAGTGGGAGCTTAGAGTGTGAGAAAGGAAGATAGACTGCACCAAAACATGCACAAACTTCTCCTAAAGTGGTTGGAACCTGGCAATGGATCTCTCGTTGTGTCCATTTGCTGCAAGTAGAAAAAAAAAAGGGTGGCTTGCAAAGAGAGATGTCGGCTATGGAAGACAATGAGTTGCAAGAAGAAATAAGGCTAATGAATGCAATAATTAATCTAGACATTAAGGAAGATTAAAGGTTAACAAGGATATGATTAACCTTAATATTGAAGGAATATGAATAGAATTATTTGAAATATGCAAAAACTAGCCCAACAGTCCATAATTATCTATTATTTTAATATTGTTATTATGACAAAAAAGGATAATGTAAGCATTATTTATTTTGTTAAGGTTACTCTAATTAATCAAAAGTTTTTCACTTACATTTTATAGTAAGTACAGATATAGATAGATGAATGCAATATGAGCATGCTTTCACACTCACCATCTATGGAATCCATCGAGTAAATCATTTTTTTCCCCCAATTATTTCATTATTTTTTGACTCATTCCTTTACTAGATTATTTTCATCTAGTAAATCATATTATGTATACATTAATTTCATATAAAAATACAACGATAAAATAACACGAATTTGATTATAACTCGACACAAAGTTGAAAATGACCTGACATGTGAACAAGACATATAAATAGCTCATATTAATTAAATGATTCACGAACATAACACGAAAATAAACAGGTCAATTCGACACGATACAATTAGTTAAATGAGTTGAGTTAACTTTAACTAATATTCGACACAAACTCCTAATGACTTAACACGAACCTGACACGACACGACTCGATTGTCATCCCTAATCTTAGCTAGCACCAAAAAAAAATTATTTTTATTTTCCATCTATTCTACTAAACACAAATAAAGGAAAATATATCATTCCTACTTCCTTCCTTGAAGAATATAAAATGTATCCCTTTTACTTTTCATCCTTACTATTTTCTTTTATTCTTACAAAACGAAGCATTAGAAAAGCACAACAATGACTCAAATCATTTATGATGAGCCCAGATTCAGCTAGGTCAAGCTCAATCTATCAAGTAAAGTCAAATCAGTTAAAAGGCAGGTTAAGTCCAGTTCGTAAATCTGACCCAACCCAAGTTTCAAGGAGTTCAAGAAGAATTAGAGCACATGAAGAGCAATTATAGGGATACACACTCTCAAAGATCAAGACTACCTTAATTGTACTTTCCTTTTATAGCTATCCTCCCAAGATTCTAGTGCCTTTACTCTCATGTCACCGCCTCTCAATGCCTATAAATTGTAAGTCCTCTCCACATGAAAGGGCACATCTTGGCACCTCCTCACACATCTCTACACCAATCTACACACTCCACACATAACTTTTCTCTCTCCTAGTTATTGTATCCCTCACGGGGCTAGTCATCACTCTCTCTCGTTCACCTTACTTAATCAATAAAAGGTCCCCTGGCCACCGTTACTATTTTTCAGAGTGGAATAAGTCACTTAGATTGAATTACTATATATTTGTGTGTTGACCTGATATTGACATTATTGTCATTGATTACTCTATTAATTGTTTCATTAATTACACTTTATCACACACTCGACTATTAATCTTGTATAAGACCGTTTTGTGCATCATCAATTTAGATCCGATTTTTACCTGTGGCACACTAATATATATATGTAGCGATCCAGAACTACATACAATAGTAATTAGAAATCCGTATAGATGGCGAGTTTCTGAAGTTGATTTAAAATTAATCTATTCAATTAGAACTCCTTTTTTTTATGTGTGAGAGAGAAAGTTATGTGAGTGCTGTCTAAAAAGTCCCAATACCTTGTATTTATAAGTGAGCATAACTCAACTTGGTTTGGATTAGTACCAACCTTCGGATTTGTTACCCTATCACCAAACAAAAAGGCTCCATGAAATCGAGCCCAACCGAACCTAATGCCCCTAAGAGAAATGCAATTGTGACCGATGTTAGTCTATTTTTAATTCAATAGTTATACTTGATTAATTTTTTAAATTAAGATCTTAAATTAGGTCGTACTGACATTTTTTCTACCCATAAACCCGAACCAAACCAAACTCCCATTCTTAAAGCTTGTTTGGATGTTTATTTTTTTTGGGGGGGGAGTGTGGATTGGATTTATGAAACATTCTCAAACCCAATTCTAAGGATTTGTACATGGGATTCAAATAAAAACCTTATCCAATTTATAGGTGACTTATGATGATGCACAAATTAGATTTACACACCACTTGTCAAGTGAGAAGTAATAAATGCAGCAATTAAGACAGACACAAGCAAGACAATGATGTATAGTGATTCGGTCAAGGTGACCTACGTCCACTTTGAATGACTAGGGTCACCAGGGAGTTCTATTACTTGAAGTGTGTAGGGAGAACAGAGAGTTACAAACTGAGAGAGAGAGGGGAGAGTTGTGCTTGACTGAATGTGATGTTCCCCCAAGTGTCGGTGGGACTTACAATTTATAGTCGCCTCTTAATAGATTGTGGCAACTTAATAATCACTAAATAGCTAATCTGTGGAGCTGATGACCTCTTCTCAACGGATGAGGTAGTTACGCTGCTTTTTATAAGATTCAGTCAAAGGATGAGGTGGGGTTTGACTCTTTTCAATACGGTGAGGATGAGGCTCTTGGATGACCCTGCATAGTCCCTTCCTGATGTAGCTCCTTAAACTTTGATGAGTTTGACTGGGGGTGGACTACTTTGGGCTGGACTTGGTGGATCTCTTGAAGTTGGACTCTTAAATCAGACTTGACTTATAACATGAGTTGGGCCCTTAGAGTGGACCCATCATTTGCCCCTCAATACCCTGTGTCCAATGAAACTTGGAGAGGAGGACATTCGGCTGAGTTTGAATTTTGTCTGAACGCACAACTAGAAAAACTTTGGGATGTCAAAACATATGTTTCTAAGCCTTTTTGGGCTTTTAACAACGTATGTCACAGCCAAAGGGGTTGAATATTTGTAGGGCTCGCCGAGAGCTTCGATTTGATACATTTTGGGCCTCATTTGGAATAACGGAACAAAAATTACGGTCAAAATAACGATCAACCTTCTTGAACTTGGATTTCTTGGAGTCTCCTTTTGATTGCCGATTCCCTTCCTTCCTTTAAACTCTTTTTGTTGGTGGGTTACCATTAGCTATATAAATTCCTTCTTTTATTCCCCTTTTGGATTCTTGAACAGCCCTAGGTTATAAATTAGACTTTTTGGCTTTCCTTAATAGGATTTTAAAAAACCCTAGGCTATAAATAGAGGGTTCTTTCTTCATTCCACCCATTTCATATAATTTTGAGAGAGAGAAAGAGAGTTCTCTTCCCAAATTCCCTTAAGCACAAAGTCAAGATTTGGGATTCTTGAGTTGAACATTCATAACAATGTCGGTTGGAGGAGAAGATGTGCAGCGATTGACAAATCTTAATGGAGAACTTGAAGAGATCATCGTTGTCACCGGAGAAGAAGAACAGGGAACCGAGAGGAGTGGTCTGGGCGAGCGGACTACTGAGCGCATGGTTCTAGGCGAGGAGGCAGCTGGGCGCGATTCGATTGACCTGATTTTTATGAGGTTGGAAAGAAGATTTCAAGGGTTAGAAAAATGTATTTCACTAAAATTTTGTGATTCAACCTCTAAATATGCGAAATTCAAACTCGAAGTCAGGACAAATTTTGTACTTGCGCCCTAAAAATTTTATGTATGAAATTTAACCTTGAAAGACTTCTTTTTAGAAAGGAATTCTAAGTTTTCCAAATGATATAGTATAGTGGTGAGTATTCCTGTCTGTCACGCAAGTGACCCAGGTTCGATTCTCGGTAACGGTGTCAAAAAATTGTTACAATTTTAGAATTGATCACTCAAATATAAGTTGTGCGAAGTAGTATAATACTCGAAAGTTCAAGGTCGAACTACAAAGAATTGAGAAAAACTTATAACACAAAGAAAAATAAAAGAAAATTGTTTTGAAAAAATTGTTGGAGAGATTTTGAAATTAGAAAACAATAAATTTGATTTTTAAAACAAAAATTGAAAATACTAAAGTATCAGGTACTCCCTCTCAAATTCATACAATAATGATTAAAAACTTAGTTTTCAAACCTCTTGTTCTTGCATCAATATATTGGACATGTCTTTTATCTCTTCAATATCTTGACTTATTTGGGCATTGAAAGCTAGTTGGCTTTACATAAATTCACAAAAAATGTCTTCCAAATTCTTTTCATGTGAGTCATGGTAGGGTGAATATTGAAGAAGGTCTTATGGTGATGTAGCATATATCGGTGATTGATAATGTTCATTCCTCCAATTAAAATCGGGCTAAAAAGTTTCAAAACAATGGTCGGAATAAGGTTGAAAAGAATTAGGTAATACAGTTGACCCATTCATAAAAATCTGTTGAGCAATTGAAATTAAAGGGCACACCTCAGTAGAATGACCAAACACATCACAAATCACACACAGTTTCTCCATAGAGGAAAAACTTGACACCTCATTAGAATACTCTAAAAACATAAAAATAAAAATTATGAAAATCTATACTAAGGAAAAATAAAACAAATAATAAAAAAAATAAGGGACGACATTACTGGATCTGTGACGAATCTCAAATCTAGCAAACCTCAATAGATGACAGTGTGTTCCTTGCCTTCAAACAAATTCCCTGCAGCGGAGCCAAAAACTTTCTTCAACTTTAATCATGAAAACTCAAGCACAGGTTGAGCAGAGTAATATATTTCTCGAAAGACTGATGTCGAACCCTTAGGAAATTATGAAATAACAGCAATCACACTAATATTATAACAATTTTGTAAAGATGTTTTGTTTAAGAGAATATTGAATTGAGAAAATTGATTAAAATAATTAAAACAGTATAAAAAATACTAGAATATCAGATACTCCATCTCAAATCCATATAATAATGATTAAAGACTTAATTCTTAACCCTAGACAAGAATCAAATGTCGGTTAATTCAAGTCACCAAATTTAGCAATAAAACCAAAAAAAACACCATTGTTTATAATCAAGAGTTTATTCAAGAACCTGAGTAATCCTCTAATTATACTATTCTGTGAAACAATGATAATCAACTTAAGTGTGGAATAACCAGTTATTTGACTTGTAGAAAAATTCAAGCAATTAATGTATATGATAGATGATTTAAGGATTTTTACAGAGCAAAAATTTTACTAAGAAATCAAAAGTTGAATTAACAAAATATCACATACCATTAAGCTCATAAGTTAATAACAATACCATACTTCATTGAGAGGTTTCTCCCCTAGCCCTAGCTGAGCTTTTAGCAAGCCATAAAACTAAAACAAAAATTAGAAAAGAAAAGATGAAAAAAAAAATGATCATAATCTCTCTCAATAGATGAGAACCCTTTTTTATTGTAAAATAAATCTTAGGTATATGTAGAAGATATAAGGTTGACTTGAGAGGAATTCTTTTTCAAAAAGAATTTTTTTTAAGTTAAATAAAAAAAGTAAAATAATTTTCAAAAGAAAAAATTATTCAATAATATATAGATTTGTATTCACAGCAATATGTGTATATAACAATAATAATAATAATAACATAAACCGAAAGTTGAGGGGAGTTTATAGGAGAAAGTAACTCTCCAATGCCTTAATGCTAATATTAAGCCTGTGTTGAGGGAGAAGTGGGTGAGATGGGATCTGCGTAATGATGGGGAGTTAAAGTTGAATGTGGATGGAGCTTGCAAGGGGAATCCATAAAACATGGAAGCTGAATTTCTAGCCATATCAAGGTAGGAGATTAGTCATACAAGATCAGCTCCAAATGAAGATTTTATGGAAGAAAAGGACCTTTCAATCAGTCAGAGGATAGCGTTTGAATTCCTTTTCATTAGCGATTTGAGCAAGGTTACAGAATTATACAACAAGTACTTCATCAAATATGCAATTCACTATTCGAAACAGTCTGTTATTCGAAGTAGGTAAGCCGTCTGTCTATTCGAAGCAGGCTGTTTTTATGGGACTCAAGACTACTAAACATATGCAGTCATGTGCTATGTTCAACAAAATTCAGTCTTCTGATTTCATAGAATTTCTTATACAGCTGAACCTTATACAACTGGACTTTGCCTCTGTTTATGTTTCTGTTCAACGGGAGCTGCAGCTGGACGGATTCTTTTCTTACATCTGGGATCAGCTGGATTTCAAACAGCTGGAGCCTTGTTGCATTGTCTCTTAGTTGCAAATTTTCATCACCAGGACTCTTTTGTTGCTGCTGGACCCTTTCTCTCAGCTGACTTTTATCTTTTGGAAATTCCATGTAAAATTATGCACGAGAATCTTTTATTTCCNATACCATACTTCATTGAGAGGTTTCTCCCCTAGCCCTAGCTGAGCTTTTAGCAAGCCATAAAACTAAAACAAAAATTAGAAAAGAAAAGATGAAAAAAAAAATGATCATAATCTCTCTCAATAGATGAGAACCCTTTTTTATTGTAAAATAAATCTTAGGTATATGTAGAAGATATAAGGTTGACTTGAGAGGAATTCTTTTTCAAAAAGAATTTTTTTTAAGTTAAATAAAAAAAGTAAAATAATTTTCAAAAGAAAAAATTATTCAATAATATATAGATTTGTATTCACAGCAATATGTGTATATAACAATAATAATAATAATAACATAAACCGAAAGTTGAGGGGAGTTTATAGGAGAAAGTAACTCTCCAATGCCTTAATGCTAATATTAAGCCTGTGTTGAGGGAGAAGTGGGTGAGATGGGATCTGCGTAATGATGGGGAGTTAAAGTTGAATGTGGATGGAGCTTGCAAGGGGAATCCATAAAACATGGAAGCTGAATTTCTAGCCATATCAAGGTAGGAGATTAGTCATACAAGATCAGCTCCAAATGAAGATTTTATGGAAGAAAAGGACCTTTCAATCAGTCAGAGGATAGCGTTTGAATTCCTTTTCATTAGCGATTTGAGCAAGGTTACAGAATTATACAACAAGTACTTCATCAAATATGCAATTCACTATTCGAAACAGTCTGTTATTCGAAGTAGGTAAGCCGTCTGTCTATTCGAAGCAGGCTGTTTTTATGGGACTCAAGACTACTAAACATATGCAGTCATGTGCTATGTTCAACAAAATTCAGTCTTCTGATTTCATAGAATTTCTTATACAGCTGAACCTTATACAACTGGACTTTGCCTCTGTTTATGTTTCTGTTCAACGGGAGCTGCAGCTGGACGGATTCTTTTCTTACATCTGGGATCAGCTGGATTTCAAACAGCTGGAGCCTTGTTGCATTGTCTCTTAGTTGCAAATTTTCATCACCAGGACTCTTTTGTTGCTGCTGGACCCTTTCTCTCAGCTGACTTTTATCTTTTGGAAATTCCATGTAAAATTATGCACGAGAATCTTTTATTTCCTATTTTATTGTAATTAGATTGCATCGAGAGGTAAGGTACGTCCACCATAACTAGGTGTAATTTAATCTTTGAATTAATAAAATTCTCTCGTACCATCGAGGTTTTCCAAAAAAAAAAATTAATAACAATAACAACAATAATAACAACAACAACAATAATAACGACAATAGCAATAATAGCAATAAAATAACAATAAGAAAAATAACAATAACAATAATAAGAACAATAATAATAACAACAATAAGAACAATAATAATAATAAAATAACAATAACAATAACAATAATAAGAATAATAAGAATAAGAATAATAATAAAATAACAATAACAATAATAATAATAAGAACAATAATAAGAATAAGAATAAGAATAATAATAATAATAATAATAATAACAATAATAACAATAACAATAATAACAAGAACAATAACAATAATAATAATAACAAAAACAACAATAACAATAATAACAAGAACAATAATAATAATAACAATTAGAATAACAATAATAATAATAACTGGTATAGTGGGGCAGAGCGGGGATAAGGTTCAGTCCATTCCCGCCTTTATTCCTGCACATATTTATATGGGTATTCCGTACACGTCTATCATCCAATACGTATGGTCCATCTCCGATTCAAACGAAACGGGTTTGGATGAATACCAATTTTTATCCGATTCGCTGCTATCCCTAGATATGAGTGTACTCTTAATTACATTATTCATGACAACTCACTTGACTTCTCTAGCAGCTAGCTACAAATGATCTTAAAGAAGTCCTCCAATAGTTAGGAGTTTTAGCACATGACCTTTCCCAATTTACACAATTTCCCACTGATCTTTGTTTGGCAAAACTCTTCTTTACCCTCTTGTCTTTAATTATATGCCAAAGAAGTATATAAGACAGCCCCAAGTATTACGCCATTCGAAAGGCATACTTCCGTACTTCCCCTTCTCTCGTAACAGATTGAAGCAAGTCACTATTGCATAAGCATGACCCTCACATGCGACTGAGACCTGGCTAATCCGTTGCACATAATCATCAATTTGTTACACGTAGTCGTCAGTTCGGTGGTACAACAAATTTTGCAGCCTAATCGATGAGAGCGATCTTTCACACTGACAAAATATCAAACCCTAAAAATTGATTACGTGATCCTTATCTTGGCTATTGTGACCATCGTTGCCGCTTTAATTCAGAATGAGACCATTAGGGCTGCGTTTCCACAAAGAAAGTCAATTGTGGAACAATTTTAATTATTATTGGCGGGACTCTAGGTGGTTCTACAGTCCCCGAGGTAACACGTGAAATAATAAAGTCGTTGAGATATTCAAAGGGTGCCGATGAATGGTGACATGGAGCAATCGATTATGACAGTTGGTATCGTATTTAATGCGATGTGACCTTTTATTTATGACGGAATGAATGATAGTGACAAGACAAATAAATACTCGCCTACCAGCACCTGCCCTCTGGGAGTCTAAGTCTACTGTCATGATAACTATGCATTAATGGCTGATGCGCCGAGATGACGCGATCGGCTCTCTCAAGGAACTATTTCTCCGAGTATTCAATGCTCAGTTGATGTCGGATGTCGATCTGGGAGATTTGGGTACTCGGGGAGTGGCATAAATGCTCGGCATTTGGCCGAACATTTAACCCATTTTTCTAGCATTCAATAGGAGGAGACGTGAGTAGAAAATACTCATTGCACGAGAAATGATGTGTCAGATATAAAATGTCTAGATGAGACTGAATATTTTTGACAATCATTGCTAATTCAAGTTTAAATTCTTCTCATAAAAATGGATAAAGGTATGCAAACTTGAATTAGAAAAATAATCTATTAAGCAAAATTTTTTGACCTTATATTGACTTAAACTTTGGAGAGGATTAGCCGGGCGCTCGCCTGATCCTCTTTTTTCTGACCCTGTTATTTCAGGTTCGCCAACTTGAAAATCGCTGCTCATACTATTGCAGGAATTATTCCGTGCAACCATCTACGTCATTTTTTACTGGATTAAGTGGATTGGGATGGGAAATTTTCAACACCTATCCATAAAATCTGGCTGCTGATGACATGTTGCTAAACATCATGTTATTTTCCTGGTTGGACATGGAATCGTTCCTTCTTTTTTTGCTTTTTTGTGGCCTTTGGATTCCTTGTCGAACAAATTTTTTAGGTAGATGGTGCTTTATGACTATTTAGTCTCTCTCTCTCTCAGATATTGCAGGGATTAAGTAGAAAGAAACATTGGTGAGTATCATCGGCAGAGAAAACAAGACCTGGTTCTTGGCTTCTTTCACGTCCAACACCTTCTTCCACCACCTCTCCTTTCTTTCTCTCTCACCACCACCATTCTCTGGCAGAGGAACATTAGCATCTGTCCTATTGCTTCCAGAAATCTCCGCCATTCTCTCTCTCTCTCTCTCTCTCTCAGATTCTGGGAGTTTGGTGGTTCTTTGTGACTATTTAGTCTGAATAAATCACATTGCCTATCTATTTATAGATAGAATGGACGAAGTCTTCTTTACTTTTATCCACTCATTTTACTTTGAAATATTATGCAAATGTGCTCTCTTACCATATTATACAAAAGCCGACATAGAGGCGTCCAGCAGAGACCAGTATTATTAATTTAATGGTCTATATTGACGTGATGAACAAAATTAGTATAGAAAAATGGTGTGTGTAGCATTATTGTAAAATATTTTCATAAAAATGGTGAAAAGTCGCTTTTACCCCCCTCAGAGCCCTTATAAACCTAATTTTAATTCCCCCAGTCCCCAAATTCACTTTATTACCGCCTCCCCTCTCTCTCTCTCTCTCTCTCTCTCACTCTCACACGGGAATGGAGCAGCGCGGCAGCCAGCCATAGATGTGAGCATTCGGAATTTTCTGAGAGCTTTTCGACAACACGACAACATTTCCGCAGTTGAAGTTCAGATCGTTGCTCCTGGGAAGAAGACGAGAGAGAGAGAGAATGGCAGAGATTTCTGGAAGCAATAGGACAGATGCTGATGTTTCGCTGCCAGAGAACAGTGGTGGTAAGAGAGAAAGAAAGGAGAGGTGGTGGAAGAAGGTGTTGGACGTGAAAGAAGCCAAGAACCAGGTCTTGTTTTCTCTACCGATGATACTCACCAATGTTTCTTTCTACTTAATCCCTGCAATATCTGTCATGTTCGCCGGCCACCTTGGAGAGCTCCAGCTCGCCGCCGGCAATCTTGCTAACTCTTGGGCTACCGTCACCGGTCTCTCTTTCATGGTACTCTCTCTCTCTCTCTCTCTCTCATCCAAACTGTAATTGGAATTGTTCGACGATAAAGAAAAAAATAAAATAATGAAGAACCACATAATATAAAATGTGGCTTAGCAAATTTTGTGAAGTATATTTGTTGGCTTCGAAGCAGAAAAATAATATATATTCTTTGTCGCTAACTGAATCCTGTTGTTTAATTTATTTACTAAATAATTAAATAATAGAAAACAAATCTTGAAAAATTAATTTCTTTTAAACAAAAAATTTAAGAGTTTAGACCTAAAAATAATTTGTCCTAAAAATCACTCTTGGAATAGATAAGTCGGTGCCATAGGTCCCATGATCACCTCCCAAAATTTCTATAATGTTACGTCCATCACCACACTTGTTATAAAGAGTGTTTAACAACCCTTTCAGATATTCCCGAGAACTCAAGAAATTATTGCAAGACTGTAAAGCTTTTACAGAGAAGCAAAGAGATAATGAATAACCAAGCAAAAGGAGAGGAGAGCACTTTGATAGTATTACTGGAAACGAAAAATCTGATTGTAAATAAATGGAAGTGGTTAGCTTACATTGTAAGCTACTTCCAACGGAAAGAAATCAGAAAGTTGGCCATGTTAATGGGTTTAATATAAAATGGATAAATTACATGTACACCCTTTGAACTATCATTTTTTAACACTTTATCCTCTAAACTATCAGATTTTTCACTCTACGCCCTCAATTAACACTTTTTGTTTCACATTACCCCAAACTTAAATTATATAGCTTGAGGGCAAAACGAAATAACTTTTTGTTAAATATGAAACGAACGTAATGATATATTTGAAGGTGCAATGTGAGAAATTTAGTAATTGAGAGGACAAAGTGCAAAACATAGATGAAGTTCACTTTTAATTCAGTAACTATAATTGATTAAGTATTAGATTAGATCTTCAAATTATGTTCGAAAAATATATATTTTTTATTTGCATGTTCTTATGTGGTTGCGTCTGATACGTGGACTACAAACAATGTTTTGACTTAAATGGTGGTGGTTTAATGGTTTTATATTTTAAGAGGAGAGAAGCAAACTAGGAATTTGCCTCCAAGTTTTCATATTTATGTTTTGCACCCATATATATATATATATATATATATATATATATATATATATATATTATTGTCCGAACCCATCTTCTTCATTTCAATTTTTGTTTCTTCTGTTGTGAAATTTACTTGGTTCTCATTATTGGGTTCGTAGTCAACAGTTTGAAGATCCAATAAAAATTAATAAAGAACTGTTAAATTTCCAATAAAAATTAATAAAGAAAGAAAAATTATACTTCTTTTAAATAAAAATGACAACCGAAAAATTATGGAAATTATAATAATATTTTATGATCAATTATGAACTTATCTCAAACAGTTATAACTTTACCTTTAAAATGTGTAATTTTATCTCAAAAAATTATTTATAATTTATGGTACGGTACTTATTTTTTTTAATACCTTACAATTACTCGTAAATTGAGAATATGAATATGGTCTCGAATTTAACTCTCAGTACTCTTGTCAAAATATGATTCTTGATTGATTGATCATAATACTTTATGATCGATTGTAAAATTATCTCAAACATTTATAACTTCACTTTTAAAATGAGTAATTTAACCTTAAAATATTATTTATTACTTATGGTACAATACTTATTCTTTTTAATACCTTACGATTACTCGTAAATTGAGAATACAAATATGGCCTCGAATTTAACTTTCCAGTACTCTTGACAGAATATGATTCTTGATTTTGTTTAAATTATTCATATTTAGTAATTGTAAAATAATAAAATTTAATGCATTTCACTTTGTGATTGTACAAAATAAAAAGGTATGGCATCAAAAAATTCCTATCCTTATGGATAAGGTACCTTTTTTCGACTCACCTTATTTGTTGCTAAAGTCTAGAGAATTCTCATACTTGCTGTATATTAAAGTTAAAACTAAACTCGCTATTTGTATACCTTCAAGTACTTTGTGCATTTCCAACAACTAATGAGATAGCGGCAACTAGATGAGTAATGTTACATGGACTTAAAAAGTAGATTTAAAAATTATACTTGATAATTACAACTATTGATTTCACTGTGGGTTCTAGTATTTATTAGGATCCACTATCTATCAATGGTTGAGATTATCAAGTCTAATTTTTAATTCTACTTTTTAAGTCTATGTAGCATTACTCTACCTAGATAGATCACACCACGATTCTTGCAATCACCAAAAGCGTTTAGGAAGGGACCGGAGGAATGCTGAGTCGTGGGACTCGATGATATCTTGGTATGCTAAAGGTCAGGTAAATATAAAGGCACAATTGATGCATAGAGCTTGAGCAGAACAATTTAAAATAGCATATGTGCAAACTGGTGAAAATTCGTAAATATTTATGTGAATAGAACAAAGAAAACAGAAGTACTTCACTTCAATAAAGTCAAGTGCTTACATACAAGCAAGATTTTCAAGTTTTGATCTACATTGTGGATTAGCTTTCACTTTGTCCAAAGCAGGGAAGATGGTCTAGCCTAGGATTGCTGGAGTTAGGGGTGGGGAGGGTATGACAGCCTAAGCTGGGGCTTGAAGTGGAGGACCCCCGGAGTTTGCGGTGAAGGGGTGGGGTCTGATTTTAGTTTTTGTTAAAAAAGAAACTGAAGGGTGTTGAAGTTTTTTTAGTTATTACCAATAGAGCCACCAAGGCACCAACTATGCATGTTCGTCTACAGACTACATGAGGCTAACTGTCTATTTTTAAGGTGAGGGGTGATGTGCAGAGGGGCTGACCACATAATATTGTTTTCCTGCTGATTCATTGTTTTCGTTAAGCTTCTCTTGTGATTGATTGATTGGTTGATTTCAATTTTTTGTTGTTTTTGTTTCAGGTTGGCCTAAGTGGAGCACTTGAGACATTGTGCGGGCAAGGATATGGCGCACAATTATACAGAATGTTGGGAATTTATTTACAAGCATCTTGCATCATATCTATCTTCTTTTGTATCATTATATCAATTTTCTGGATGTTCACTGAACCCATTCTGATATTACTTCATCAAGATCATCAGATATCAAAAACCGCTGCTTTGTATATCAAGTATCTCATACCAGGATTATTTGCATATGGGTTTTTGCATAACATCTTGAGATTTCTTCAGACACAATCGGTTGTTGTGCCATTGGTGGTTTGCTCGGGGGTCCCATTAGTCATCCACATTGGCATCACCTATATTTTGGTTCATTGGACACATCTTGCCTTCAAGGGCGCAGCATTGGCTGTTTCAGTTTCATTATGGATCTCAGTTCTTATGTTGGCCGTCTATGTGCTTAAAGCCAAAAAATTTAAGCAGACCTGGGAAGGATTTTCTTGGGAGTCATTCCATTATATTCTTATAAGCTTGCAGCTGGCCATTCCTTCTGCAGCTATGGTGTGGTCAGTGACCATTTGCCTCCCTTTGTCTGTTGTATTGACTTCTCACTTCACTCTTAACAACTTGCATATCTGTTAATTTCTATTTTTCAAAATTTTTACCAGCTTGGAATATTGGGCCTTTGAGCTTCTAGTTATTCTATCTGGATTGATGCCAAATTCAAAAATAACCACTTCATTGATTGGGATGTGGTGAGATTTCTGTACTTCTACACTCATTCATTTTCAACTTGATTAGAATTTTTTGTCATAGTTGACACTGGCACTCTTTTGGGGTTAATTTTTCTCCAGTGTAAATACTGAAGGTATCGCCTATATGATTACCTACGGCCTAAGTGCAGCTGCAAGGTCAGTTATTGAAAAAGATTTCCACCATGTGTGTGGGTGTTTCAGTTACAAGAAATCGATTTCCATTTCCATTTTGCTTCAGCTGTTGACTAATTTGAACTTAATATAACAGCACAAGAGTGTCAAATGAATTGGGAGCAGGCAATCCTGATCGAGCTAAGCACGCTATGGCTGTCAGTCTCAAGGTCTCTATCCTCCTTGGTGTAGTTGTTATCTTGGCCCTAGGTTTTGGTCATGATATCTGGGCTGGTTTCTTCAGTGATAGTCAAGTAATAATACATAAATTTGCTTCAATGACACCCCTGCTCCTAGTCTCGATTATGTTTGATTCTGTCCAAGGAGTCTTATCAGGTTAGATTCAACCCTATTAGTTACTGTGATGGGTAAGGTTTCTTTCAAGGATTTACATTGAGTTGATGTGATCACTTTGGTTCTGCAGGGGTGGCCAGGGGTTTGCGGTTGGCAGCATCTTGCTGTGGGCATTAACTTGGCATCATTCTATTTCATCGGCATGCCAAATGCAGGCGTTCTCGGATTTAAGGTCAAACTACATGCTAAGGTGAGTCATAGTTGATATGTTTTTCTTTTATTTTACCTCAAGTTTTCCACTGTGTATTATTAGTGGACCCACTTATATATAGTGTGGATCTTACTTGAATATATGATGAATGGTAGTTCATTGGGAAAATGAAGTGAAAGTATGCAAGAGTGTATCTTGGGCGGTTTATACATGAGTGAACTATGTGGGTACATCAATTTGAAGGCAAACTCCTAGTTTTTATTTTTTATTTTCATAGAAAAATTACTCAAAAGATATAATTGGATGGAAAATAGCAATGGTACATGCCACATTGTTCCTACTAAAACCCAACCACATTTGGATATTTTTTATTCAAAACATATAAAACTCAAAACATTTGGATATTTATTATATTTGTGAATGTTTTTATCACTATTGTGATAACTAATTTTTATTATTATTTTTTGAATGCTACAATAATAATAAAATAACTATAAATAATAGTAAATGGAGGTACGGTATCAAAAAAAAAAAAAATTAATTTAGTACTGTAGTCACCTCCTATTATTATAAACAGCAAATCTAGCTGCAATTTTTCTTAGAGAAATATGTCTTTTGGCCCACAGTTCTTTGGCTCATTTAAGATTATAACAAGATTGTACATTACAATACATAACACAAACCTAACATGACAAATGACACTAACTATACATACGTATATGAATTGAATAGATTTTGATATGATACAATACATATGACTCAAAATTGATATATCACAGTCAAATTACTAACCCTACGTATGTGAATGTGTAATTGTGCACGATTGTACTAACGAGTATAAAGGTCTCACTTATGTTTAGTTGGTCCAATTTGAAGTGATGCCGATTGGTCTTCAATTAAGGAAACATTAAACAGAAATTGTACTACTATAAGATTTTCTAAGAATTTAGAGACGTGATGTGAACGTTGAATCTAATTAAGAGAGTTTTATTCAAGTGTCACAAATAAAGATTTAAATTAGTACCAAAATTTACAATTTTTATGGGTTATAATACAAATTTTTAGAATCGAATCTAGAAAAAATTACAACTTCTAGAATTATTTTACAATTTTTATAGTATAAGTAATAAATTTTGAAAAAGTTTATGATTGATTTTAGCAATTTTAGGGTCGGTCTTAAAATTGTTATGATTGATCACAAAAGTCTTAGATATTGTAAATAATTTATAAAAGCTGTCCAAAAAATCTTAAAATGTTGTACGTCACCCTCGGATACCCTTTTTTTGTGTGTGTGTGTGTGTGTTTTGTACGATGGCATTTTCCCACAAATAAAATTGTAATAAACATTTTTGTGCTCTGTTTGGAGTGAGGCAACAAAACAGCCACATTTAAAAAAAAAAAAAAAAAAAAAAAGCCACATATGGCAAGTCTTATTCATACCATATGTATTGGGTATGCAGTTCAAGCCTTCAATGCCATTATTGGAAGCTAACTATGTTAGGGGAACCCCTCTCTCTCTCTCTGGATATTCAGGTTTGTGTCGATTACTTCTTTGAGTTTAATAGTTAACCACCGTGGCTTGAGTTAGGTTAAGGGTGTCCAAGCGAATTTACGCGTATTTTAACTAATTTTTTCTTAATCTGATCAAAAGTAGATCATCCACATTAAAATTAAAATATTTAAAAGAAATAAATTTTTTATAATCTGACTCTAAAATATTATCAATATTTAAAATCAAGACATCTTATTTTAAAATATAATAAAACAGGAAGGAACTTGAATTTTATATCTCATACATTTTCCCCCCCAAAACCATCTCATCCAACCCAACCCAACCCAATTTTAAACGGGAGCAAATTTTAAACTTTGAGATTCATCTACTTGTCCCCTTAGTAGAGCCTATGCTAACTACTAGTAGACCTTTACACCTGGAACTATCGTGTTGCCTTTGTTTTCCGACCCTTAAGGTTATGTTTTCTAACCCTAGTGTCTTTTTTCAATATACATTTTACCATGTATATCATTCACATAACATACAACACATAATATGTATCATATTAAAACACATAGCATTAAATACACAATGAATGCAATGGTCTAGACCCATGCCCAATAACCCTAGGTAAATCGTATACCTACACTCTGATACCAAGCTGTGACGCCCCTAAAATCAAGTGTCATTTGTCAACCGTTGACCATCTGTCAACCTGCGAAAATACCCTTGTTTGTCGCACAACTCGACGTCATGTCAATAACATCCTTTTAACCGAGGTTATAACCCACACGTATAACCCGTGTACATTTTATCATTTAATCTAATCGTGACTCAATGTACCACATTTCATGCTCCATTATAGTTCATTTATATTCTGGGAACCAAAGAACCCATAGCCTAAGGGCTTGACAAAGTAATTTTTAAATTTTCAAAATTTTGGAAAGTGTAGAGGTACAGCGTTCCGGTACGGTGAGCCTTCTGGGAAAATCCGTACCGGTATGGCATACTAGTACGCTCTGCCTTCTGGACAAGGCTGTACCAGTACGGGTAACCCACTGGACCTCGTCATACCGATACGCTTTGTCCACTTTTGCCTATTTCACCTGCTTTTCATTTTCAACTCATTCGCAAGCATATTATTTTCATCCAACTCATGTATAATGAAGTTTTTCATGTAATACAAGGTTCATACAAGTTCTATTACATTCAATTCAATGTATTTACATACCAAATAGAAATTTCATAATTGTTTTACAAAACTCAAAATAAAACCACATTTCGACTTTCTTCATCTTTGAGGTCTCATGTAAGGGTCTTCTTCCGGCGTGTATCCCGTACCTGAAATATTTTTCCGTATAGGGTAAGTCACGCCCAATAGAGTATTTTCTACCGAGGCTATTCCCCAACCTAAGTGCATATGAATTATTTATACAACACTCAACAACATAAACATCCCAAACAAGAATATATTATTCAATATTGGAATCTTAGAATGTCATGTCATGAAATGAGATGAGACTCACTCACATACATCAACCTGAGTCTTTCCGGCTCCTCAACACATGCAAGTGTCAATGTGTATAAAATCAGGTTTTCCAAACCCCCGCCATTGGTGTTACACACTCAATGACTCTTTTAAAAAAAAATCTCCGGGTCTTTCTTGGGGTGGATATTTATGGATTTACACCAATGACACCCAACTGATACGAAATTTATGAACTTCCACCAACGGTTCCGCGTACACCGACACACTTTATGGACTCTTATACCAATGAAGTGCATATCCGTTCACCGGGTCTTTCACCCGAGGAATAGTCTAACCCTTTTTGCTAACCCCGACCCAATTTTTTTTCCACACAACCGTGCGACTCAGTTGGATCTTTGATTCAACTTTCCTGAGTCCACCCATCATCCACCTATTTGGTGTTTGATATCGACCATGCACACACACACCCACACTCATGGCTATGGATGCAGTTCTTCCGTGCAAATGCAATGTAATGCATCATTGCTATATCAATGTCATACTCATATGTGATGAATGTCATATGAGTTAAATTAACATATATTTTCATATTTCATGGTCAATCATATCATATGCATATAATCGTCAAATTTCATCACAATATTAATATATCAACATTTCATTTCAACAATAAATCACAAGCGTGTTATTACATAATATGTACCAATAACACACTTAATTCTCAAGACATAAAATAAACACATAACATTCCCACATTTCATCACATACTCAACCATCACTATAGGTAATTTATACATACCTAATTTAAACTAGAATTTATTCTAGTCCATTTCTATACCCATTTCATCCAATCCACAATAATAGGCAAGTGATATAGCATTCTATCAACCTACCAATTTCATATAAATATCCTAGGTTATAAATAAACCTAAATAGGAGAAAATCCTACCTCTTGAAGTGTAAAAAGCCGTCAAGAAACTCCAAGAACCCAAAAACGAGCTAGAATCCCTAGTTTCCAAAAATCTAGTTCCTTGATCTTTTGTAAAATCCACATTTTGTGGTATAGCCACGTAACCCTTGTCGAGGAGATCGACTTTTGTTCTTGACCCATGTTGATTTGAGCACCGTAGGACCATAGATCGTAGAGAGAAGTGAAGAAACTCTCTCTTGTCCCTCTCTTCTTCTCTATCGGGTGAACGACTGATGAATAGGGGGAATAATCAAATTTTCTCCCCTATTTATACCCTTTATTTACTTGGCCCACAACACGCCATACGACCCTCTTTTTTTCAGGTCCGTTTTCGCCCTAAAACGATTAAATTTCGTCCTGGTTTAAGTTTAAAATATTTTTATTTTAAATTTCCTTAATTTATTTTCTAACTTTCAAATTTTTTTTAAAAATCCCGTTTTTGGATCACCCGAGACTCGACCATCTCGTAAAACACAAAAAATCCGACTATCTCAGAATTCGATGAAATTTGACAGGGTAACTAGAATTCGCGAGACAAATCCAACGATAAGGTCCGTTTTGTCATCTAAGATCTAGAAAAATTTAGGTTTGTAACCCGCACTGTAGCAATAAATTACAGTTTTACCCTTTTTTTGTAAAAAATTTAATTTTACCTGGGTTTTACAATATACCCCAAAAGATCCTAATTTTATTGATTGCTATCTTTCTTTTGCTCGAAAGTTGTATTTAAATGCACATACATTGGATTGAGAATATGTTGTTCTAGAATTGAAATTAGAGTACTGCATTGAATTTAGTTTTTTAGTCAGTTGTTTAACTTTTTGTATTTTTTATAAATTGAATGTAATTGGTAATCCTGTTTTGTCTTTATATCATTTGTATGTTGTTAAGGAATTCATTTATGTTGTTGCGATTTTTAATAAACGATTTCGTTTTGATATGTTTGTGGCATGATTGTGCGTCTTGTTTGGTGGTTATAAATCGTGTATACAGGTTTAACTTTTTTGGTATATTATTTTTAGAGGAAATTCTATTTAAATATTCCCGCCCATTCAACTATCGAGGTTAGCTACTATTGTATTGCTTGAGAGTGGTTTTGTTTTCTAGCATATGTTGGCTATTTTTTATAAACTTGGTGGTGGTAATGTCTACCATGTAATGCTGCTTGAGAAATATTTTTCCTTATTAATAATTATTTGGGATTCTTAAAGATATTGTTGATGTTAATTGCTAGACATGCACAATAGTATCTATATTTATCCACCAATTTATTTATTTTTCCATGCATTCATAAAACTACACCTTATTGAGACCTTTTGTTATTAGGTTAGCGTTAGGTACAATTTGCACAGAGGTTTGTAAGTACGTTTGATTTTATGCGAGTTTTGTATTAGGTTCAATTTGTTGTGATTTTTGGGATTCATGATTGCATTTCTTTTGCTTGAATTGATTATTTGGTGCACAAACATTTGGACCTTAATGATTTCGTATCTTTTGGTTCTGAATAATTAGGCGAAGTTCTCATTATTATTTTTCACAAAATGTTAATCTATTCAAAGAGCAAATAAATGTTACTTTATCAATTGTCTTAAGAGTTTCAATATCGCTCTCACGTTTCTAGGTAAAGTTTGAATGGTTACTTAGCGAGTTTTCTATGTTTTGATTTTTGCCAACACTTTTTCTAAACTTTTTATTTTTTATTTTTTATTTTAGGTTTTGTTAAAGGCGTTGAACATCACAACAGTGAGCGTAAAGATTTTCTCAATATTGACTGCAACATATTCCTATTGGTAATTACTTCAAGTAAATTGAGCTTTTTGATAGTCTATTCTTACAAATTGATAATCATAGTACTAGCGATTACTCATGCCTAAAGGCACTGTGCAATTTTAAAAATATTATTACTTAAGTGATAGTAGGATTATTGGATAGCTCTAAAGAAACTTGGATTTGCTTCATCATGGAAGAATTTCAAATGTGTTTGGTTGTTTATGAGTCCTAGAACTATGGACAAATGGCTTTTGTGAAGTGATAGTTGGTGTAAAGTCATTTTTGATTGTTGAAGCCTATTTCAAGCCCGCCTACACATCACTGCAACACCATTAATTAGTTGTAAAATTGGATACATACCTGAAATTTATTGGATTCGTTGAAGTTTATGAATCACTGATGCTTATTACTAATTTTTTATTTAATTGACTTTATACATAATATATTTTAATTTTAGATTTGTTGTGAAACATATATCTAAATAAATTTAAATATATTTTTTAATTTTTTGATATGTAGTGAAAGTTTTAGTTCCTTTATGTTACATATTTGCATTGGGAATAGTTGATTTTGTTCTAATTCTTTACTTTTGGGGACTGAACATCGATGAATATAGATATCAAAATTTGAATTTCTTTCATCTTTTGTTGATTTTTTAACCAAGAATTAGCCGTTTTTCGAATTTTGTAAATTTTGTTGTATTATTTCTCTCTTTTTTTTGGGCCCAAATTCATGTTAAGTGAAGTATCATTGTTTTAGGCCAAGTGGGAGTCAATGCAATGCAGGCTTTTCCTGTTTTGTTGCCATCTGAATTGGGTTGGAGTGAAGTCTCAAGGGTAAATATGGTGCACGAATTGGATTGGTAATGAAGGTGAGGTCTCCATAAGGGAGGGCTGACTAGCATGTTGTGATTAGTATTCTATGTTTTTATTATTGATAACATTATTTTCATTTATTATGCCTTTGCTTCACACCAATTCCTCCCCCCCCAAAAAAAAAAAAAACGATGTAAGACAGTTTGGTTTTGCTTGCACCGTAGTTATTAAGAAGAGACTTTATTTCGAAAATACAATTAGTATTGACGATCTTTAAATAAATATTTTTTTACTAAATATTGACAATTTATTTTTTATATAGTGCTTTCGGGCACAAACTTGAACTGAATGATTTTTTTGTTATACAATGGCTTTAGACACGGGTTGTATATAATTAATTTTTGTTTCAGAAAATTGAAATTAATTTTTGTTCCTTATATTATTTTCAAGTATATATGGAAACATGCTTGGAGTTGTTTTCCAGTGAAATTATATATAGATATAACAGTCAAGCCTTTGATCCCCATTAGGCTTATAGTAACCCATTTTTCATCTATTTCTTTCATTTCAAAATTATAAATTATTTTTTCTTCATTTCTTTCCTTCTCTTGGAATCATGGATTAATTTTCTATTTTTTTTCAATAGATTGGTGCATAAAGTATTGGATAAATGTTGTTGATTGAAATCTTTGGATTTAAGCATTGAGTATTCTTGGGTGCATGCAACATGAATATTTTTATTATGGAATTCATATATTGTTATGAACTTTATTTGCGTGATTGCGTTAATTGATAAATGGTTGTCTAAGGCAAAATTGCGACGTAATAGTTAGACATTTAGTAACTTTTGTTAGATATGAGAATAAATTGTGTATATAGGTTGAAAATTTTCTGATGTCCCAATTTTAGGGGAAACTTTGGCCAATTTTTTTTTAAAATATATGGAGGGTTTAATTTTTTGTCCAATGAATTTATTGCTAATTATTAGTTTTATTTTTGGTTATTTAGCATCTTTAGGCACAAACACAAGATCAATTGAATCAATCATTTTGATTTGTTTTAATTTTGCTTAGATTTTGAACTTATTGTTATATCAATTTTTATATGAGAGTTGATATCAATTTTTTGAATTGCATAATTTCAAGCACGAATTATAGAAACAATTTAGACTTTGTGTTTAGTACACGTTTGAGTTCGGTGCTTGATTATTTTGTTTTTAAATTTAATGCTCAATATTTTTTGAATTGTACCGTGCATGAATGCACGGGTGATCCTTATCATTTAATCTATCTTGATGTTGTTTGATCAAAATTGTAATTTTGCACTGAAAGGCGTCTAAGCGGAGCGGGCAGAGGAGAGAGAATTGACAAAGATTTCTCCCAGCACATGGGTCACATCCCGCTGCTTGAGTGTGGTGGTGAATCTCATAGAATCAAAGGGTAGGTCAGGGCGGGCCCTAATGTAAAGCCANCATATATTGTTATGAACTTTATTTGCGTGATTGCGTTAATTGATAAATGGTTGTCTAAGGCAAAATTGCGACGTAATAGTTAGACATTTAGTAACTTTTGTTAGATATGAGAATAAATTGTGTATATAGGTTGAAAATTTTCTGATGTCCCAATTTTAGGGGAAACTTTGGCCAATTTTTTTTTAAAATATATGGAGGGTTTAATTTTTTGTCCAATGAATTTATTGCTAATTATTAGTTTTATTTTTGGTTATTTAGCATCTTTAGGCACAAACACAAGATCAATTGAATCAATCATTTTGATTTGTTTTAATTTTGCTTAGATTTTGAACTTATTGTTATATCAATTTTTATATGAGAGTTGATATCAATTTTTTGAATTGCATAATTTCAAGCACGAATTATAGAAACAATTTAGACTTTGTGTTTAGTACACGTTTGAGTTCGGTGCTTGATTATTTTGTTTTTAAATTTAATGCTCAATATTTTTTGAATTGTACCGTGCATGAATGCACGGGTGATCCTTATCATTTAATCTATCTTGATGTTGTTTGATCAAAATTGTAATTTTGCACTGAAAGGCGTCTAAGCGGAGCGGGCAGAGGAGAGAGAATTGACAAAGATTTCTCCCAGCACATGGGTCACATCCCGCTGCTTGAGTGTGGTGGTGAATCTCATAGAATCAAAGGGTAGGTCAGGGCGGGCCCTAATGTAAAGCCATTAAAGCCTGGTTTTTAAATTTTATTTTTTTTGTTTGGTACCATAATTTGTAATCATAATCACTAAACTAAATTAAAAAAATTAACTTTATAAAAATTTAACCTCAATGAAAAAGTTAAAATTAGATAATTTGAATCTACTGCTACTGCCGACAACACCAAAATAAAATAAAAAATAAAATACTAGGATAATTACATTCAAATTTTTTAAAGTTTGTCATTTAATCACTCAAATTCCCTAATATATGAAATATTACACACAGACCCTTGCTATAAATATATATGATAATAAATTAAACTCAGACTCCCTAAATTTTGTAAACATATATTATTTATATTCTTTAAATTTAAATGTTATATTTAGACTAAAAATACTTCAATCAAATATAGAATATCAAATATTTTAAATTTTACAATTAAAATTCATGTTATATTCTACCATTTGTTGAAATAAAATTCAAAACAAATTCAACTTTTTTTTTTCGAATACATGAAAAGTTAATTATTTATGTTAAAATATATTTTATTTGTCTATATATCCTTTGATATATATATACACATCAATTTTATATATAAATAGAATAATAAAAATTAATCATTTAAAATATTTTTAAAAATTAATCATTTAAAAATTAAAATTAAGATTAAAAATTAAAAAAATATTTTTTCCATCTTACCAAGCAGGGGTATCAGTGAATTTTATTCAATATATTTTTATGTGATCTCTCAAATAAATAACATCTACATTTCTAAAGATTTTTTATCATAAATTTGACATGTGATATCTAAATATGAGTAAAAAATTTAGGTAGCTCTTGACAAAAATTTAGGTAACTTTTGACAAAAAATGTGTAATATGTATATTTCTTGACAAAAATTTGGATAACTCATAATTAAAACTGTGTAATTTGGATAATTCTTTGACCAAAATTTTGGGTAAAAATTTGGTTAAGAGTTATCCAAATTATTATTTTTTTTCTTGTATTTAAGTATTAACCGACAAATTTATAATAAAAAATCGTTAGTAATTTAAACGTTATTTGCTTGAAATACTACATAAAAATATATTTACTACTTCATGGACTAAAAGAATATAATTAAAAATATTGAAAACTAAAATAAAATAAATCTCATACGTTAGAGACCTTCAGTGTAATTAACTCAAATTTCAAACATATTCTATGCACCATTGAATAGCAAGACATTTAAAAATTAAATGGGACATATTTTAATCTTATCGATAGTGTTTCTCTAACCAATGAAAATTTACAAGGTCGAGTTACAAACACGACTTACATCACCATTCACTATTAATACGCTGACTAATGATTAATTTTTTCATTTAATTTGAAGGCTTAATGAATGATAATTGTTAGAATAAAAATAAACTCTATCTAATATTGAAACTCATTGCATTAATTTTTATTGTGTAAAACTAATATTTTTATTATAATTTTTGATATAGTTATTGCATCATATCACTAATGAGAGAATAGTAGATCGGAATATTGTCACAACATTAATTTTCACTACAAAAGTAATAATTAATTTGTAAATTATATGATTCAAACTAATTTTTTAAAATGAAATTTTATAATTTTTTTTATTTATCAAAAATTAAAAAAGACTCATCTTAACTCTCTTAGAGCATCTCTAATAGATGATCTAAAACACACAAAACTTTCAAATTTTAACTATTTAGTTAAAAAATTACATTCTAATAGATTATCTTTAAAATATCTAAAATAATATTTTGTTACAGTGATACTCTATATTTAGAGTATCACTGTAGCAATATGTAAAAAAAAATTATAATATTTTCTTTCTCTTCCTCTACGTTATTCGATTCTCTCTCTTTCTCTCTTTCACTTTTCCAAAAAAATAATACAAAAAGAATAAAAAATAATATTTAAAAGGGGTAGTGAAAAATATAAAAAAATTTGTTAGAGTATATATTGAAAAATTAAATAGTTAAAATAAAAATATTATTTTTTGAGTAGGTAAAATAACTTTTTTGGTCGAAGATGCTCTTACAAAACTAATAGAAGCAAGGTCTACAAACAGAGAAGGACCAATTTGACAACGGGGTGTTCAAGGATGCCGAAAGCATGGCTCTGTTGGTTTAGAAAATGAGTGGTGTTCGAATTAATTTTAAAACGGGTTAAACTTGATGAGTCCGAATTTTATTGGGTTAAACCCAATAAAAATAAGACAAAAAAGCCCAAAGAAAAGTCAAAGCAGATGGATCAATTAAAGAGTCGAGAGTCCAAAACAGATACCAAGCTCATCCTCAAAGGGGGCGCCGCCCAAGGGACCAAATGGGCGCCACCCATGAAGACTCCAAGTGGGCGTTGTCCATGCCTTGTCCATCCTCCCCTCCTCACTTCACTCCAATGCAAGTCCAAGATCACTCCGGGTCTAAGCCCAAAGTCAAGTACGAGCTCAGTCCAGTTCAAGACCCTCCTCCAAAGAAATAGGAGCACGAGGGAAAAAACATCGAGATAGGCATAGAGATCTCATACCATAGCTTTACTTACTAAAACAGTATAAGTCTTCCTCCTTACGTCACCGCCTCATTACACCTATATAATGTAAGCCCCCCCCCCCCCCTATAGAGGGCATGCTCTCATAATTTTGAGATTCCTACACACACTACACCTTCCTACACACACTGCTCTCTCTCTCCCTCCAAAGCATTGTAATATTCCTAGAGAATACTCACTCCGGTGACTTCACTCATAAATAAAAGATCTAGGCCACTGCTGCCGTTCCCGAAAGTGCAATAGGTCATCAAAACCAAATCACTATAAACTTCTGTGTTTTCTCCTTATTTAT